GATGACCTAAGTCTTGGGAAGATTCAAAAGGCTTATAAGAAGATGTACAACAAATGGCTTGTTGTTTGCAAACGAAATAAATCGCTTGAAGATGAAGTTGTTGTCTTAACAAAGGAAAGAGATGAGTTGAAGAAGGCTGCAACAAATTATGAAATCTTGGCAACAAAGCATCAGAGAAAGCTTGTTGAGACCAGACTCAAATTGGAGCAGACCCAGAAGAATTTAAGGATGCTAAACTCAGGCACAACAAAATTGGATCACTTACTCTTACAACAAAAAACTTGTGGTGATCATTTAGGCCTTAGCTACAAGGGTCAAGAAATTTCTAGGAAGACTCTCTTTGTGAAAGGAGCCACCAGTACTATGATGCAGCCCTTTAAGAAAGCTCGAGTAAGATCAGACAAGAAGTTTATTGCAAAGCATGTTGTAACAAGACAAGCAACGGACAGGTTTGTTCCAATCTGTCACTATTGTAATTTGTCTGGCCAAATTAGACCTAGATGTTACAAATACTTGAATGCTTTAAAAAGAGGTATGATCATTAATCCACCAAATACCGCATTCACAAGAAGGACACCTAAAACAAAAATTGATGTGCAAAATAAATTTCCTAGACGTATGTGGGTAAGGAAATCTGATTTAAGGTGTCATGGGGCTTACACTTCTTTTAAAGCATGTACTACTAACTCTGAGAATTGTGGTAATGGTCACTTCATGCATTTGATAGGTGATAAAAGCAATATGCATGGGAGACAATCATATTCAGGGAGAGTAAGACTCATAGAAGATTCAAGGGGAGCGATTTACAGAAATCAATGAATTAGAACGTGATATGAAGGAAAGTGTTGCATAGAGTGTTCCATCAGGTGTTGCAACACTTTCTGCTACAGCAGTTTTATTTTGACTTATTTTTCTCAAAAATGGGGAGTAGGTAGTCTATGATGTTTTAGTTCAGGCAGAGTTTTTCTTGGAGATAATTTGCTTCTGACTTTACAAAAGTTATTTTGTTTCAGTTTCCATTTTTAGTTTTGCCAAAACAATGCCAAAGGGGGAGATTGTTGGGATTTATTTCCCAAATTCTGTATTGATTCCCGTTTTATGATTGGTATTATTTTGGGAATGATTGGCTGGTTGATTGTGTTTGAGAATAGATGTGCAACTGGCAAGCTCTTTATGGAATGTTTCTGTAAGAATCTGGAAATTTAATTCAGTTACTGTTTTTGAAAAGTCAACTATTGATCCTAAGATGGTAAATTATTAATTGGTGATTTGATTGATATTTGATTGAGTTTTCATAGCTGGATGATCTTTCTCTGTCTCCTAAGAATGTGTCCAGGTTCATATATCAGTTTCGAAACGGTTTTAGAATTAAAGCAGATGGATTCATACTAGTTTTGAGAAAGTCGACATTGACAGCTATGTTGCAGTTATTGTTGCAACAAGGATCTGCAACAGATTTGGTTCAACAAATTAATTAAAGAGGTCGTCAAGCTGTTATCATTTTTGCTTATTTATTCAAAGAGTCTCTTGTATCTCTGTACACCTTTTGATTAGTTTTGTTGGGTTGTGAGAGAGGTGAGCACTTGTATTCAAGAGAGATGATTTGAGTATTTTTGAGAGAAAAAAACTTAGTTGGAGGGATTCCAATGTTAAAAAGTCGAGGAGATCTCGCTGTTCAAGTCCATTGTGAAATTGCAAGTTCATAGGCGTCTTCTTAGAGAGTGAGTCGGGTAGATTAAGTCCAATTGAATTGTAAAAGAGTTCTTAGTGGATTGTTCATCATCTGAGCGTGGCCCCGCGGAGTAGGTTGTGACCGAACCGCGATATTATTTCTCTCGTGTTCTTTTATATGATCTTTCTCTGTCTCCTAAGAATGTGTCCAGGTTCATATATCAGTTTCGAAAAGGTTTTAGAATTAAAGCAGATTGATTCATACTAGTTTTGAGAAAGTCGACATTGACAGCTATGTTGCAGTTATTGTTGCAACAAGGATCTGCAACAGATTTGGTTCAACAAATTAATTAAAGAGGTCGTCAAGCTGTTATCATTTTTGCTTATTTATTCAAAGAGTCTCTTGTATCTCTGTACACCTTTTGATTAGTTTTGTTGGGTTGTGAGAGAGGTGAGCACTTGTATTCAAGAGAGATGATTTGAGTATTTTTGAGAGAAAAAAACTTAGTTGGAGGGATTCCAATGTTAAAAAGTCGAGGAGATCTCGCTGTTCAAGTCCATTGTGAAATTGCAAGTTCATAGGCGTCTTCTTAGAGAGTGAGTCGGGTAGATTAAGTCCAATTGAATTGTAAAAGAGTTCTTAGTGGATTGTTCATCATCTGAGCGTGGCCCCGCGGAGTAGGTTGTGACCGAACCGCGATATTATTTCTCTCGTGTTCTTTTATTTTACGTCTCTGCATTATTTCTATTGTCTTATAAATTATTAAAAGACTCGAACCGATACCAACACATATATTTTATAAGTTGAAGTACTACAATTTAATCTCTTTTACTATAGTATTTTCTCTTACAAAATTTAATTTTCTTTTTTAAAACTTATGAACCAAGCGAGCTCTATCCATCAATTCTGATCTTTCAAAAGTTCAAAAGCTCATTTATATGCTCCGGATTCTAGGATTCTAACACATAGAGAGGAGGTTTTTTAGGCTTCCAGCAAGGAAAAAAGGTAATACAAAGTTTTGTTTTTATTTGGATAATTTGCACAAATGGTCCCTAACCTTTTTAATAAGTGATAGTTTAGTTCCTAATCTTTTTTTTGATAAATCGAGCTCCAACCTCTTTAAACGGGTACAATTTGAAGGTCCTACCGTGTAATTTCTCTGAGAATGCCACGTGTTTCATCTATGTTGATGCCGACACCGATAAATTAAATACTTGCGTGTGTACACTTTATACACGTCCTACTAACTGACTCTACAGATAGAAAAATAAAATTAACATGTATTATACTTGATGATAAATTTGATTCTGAGTGTAATATATATCAAATTTTGCTATCATTGTCATAAGTTGATGCTATTCATTGTTATTGGTTGATGCATTTAATTTTTGTAATATTGACTTTTCAAATTTTAAATTAAAAGTATATTTTTATAATTTTTAAAACTTAATGATAATGACAATAAATTAACATTTGTATTGGAATATCACTACTAAACTATAAAATAGGTAAAAATAAATAAAGTTGGCTTCATTTGGAAAGCCTCCTATTCATTAATGTTTCCTTTACTCAGTCATATACTGCCTCAGGCCATACACTGCAAGAAGCAACCATTACAGGACACCAGGTTAACGGGTCACCATTATACAGTAATAAAAAATGGATAGCATAATACAGGGTTTATAAATGATTTTATTAATTGTGATGCCAAATATTGATGACGTCTACAATTATTTTCCAGGCACAAAAATCAATCCGACAACACTAATAATAACTTGGACTTTATTAACGCATATAGCAGGGCCATAATCAGCAAAATTGACCGTCATTAGAAAATTAGAAAATTAGTTTTGCAATCTGTTCAACAAAGGAAGGAGAAGAAGCTTCTACAGAAGATACAAAAAGAGAAATGCAAAAAAAAAAAAAAAAAAAAAATACAAATTTTTTGTACAATCAGCCACTTCTGATTTAGCACTCTTGGAGATAAAATCTAAGAAAAAATTATTAGATGAAGATTATATTAGAGCCTTAAGATAGTGACATATTGCCCATTTTGGTTAAAGTTTAAGCCAAAATGGGTGATTGACATGTCTCTTATTATTAACAACTACCACAAAATATGCAAAAATCTTTTAGGCCAAATCACAAAACCCTGTCGGTGACAAAAACTTTCTTATTTAAGTGAAATAGTACTATTACCTTCTTTCTAATCATAAAATAGCTGGTTAATTAGGGGATTAACAATTGCAGATAAGGACAGAGAAGACAAGTTGAGTTGAACGTGGAGGATATCTATCTTGGAAAAAAGATTCCAAAACTCTAGTGACGTTGACAGTGGGATGGGCCCATGACAAAAGCCCAACCAAACTAAAACATAGCCCACTTACCAAACTTGTCTTTTACACCTCACTGTCGGCAACCAAAGCCATTCTAACTAGTTAAAGCCGTTCATTTCGCTAATTTAAGTTTAAAATTTGAGAATTAAGATGTGACTTTATATAAAAATTTTTTATTATAATAAAAAAATTAAATTTAATTATTTATGAGAGTTTTTTATTGTAATAAAACTCAAATTTTAGACTCAAATTCTAAACTCGAATAGAAGAGACCTAAGTTATGCAAGAGAAGACGTGATACGATTTTTTTTTCCTTTTTACAGCTGGATCCGAGGCCAGATCCCCACCAGTTTTAGCCAATCAGACGGCTGACATAAGATCTAACATTTAGGTGACAAAGAAAAAGAAGCCGTATGTCACGGTTGTACTCAAAGCTGTCCTTATCAATTAGCTGTCTCGTATCAATGAATAATAATTTATTTTTTTGGAGCATTTCAATAAAAATTCCAATAATATCTCGTGTTGTTGTGCCGTAAATCTTTTTAGGAAAATTCTGTACTACGCGGCTTTTCCACGCACTAAAAATGACCCTAAGTTTGTGTACCTTTTTTTTTTTAGGGTGGATTAAGGAAAAATGTGTGTTTTTACAGTTTTCTTCGCACTTTCTCTAATCACAAATAAAAAAAATGGCTCCAAGATTTTCTCTAGAGAAACAAACGCTGAACCAAGTCTAAAAAGTCGGTCAAAAAAGAATGAAAGAAATGCACAAAATGAAGTTGCAAAATGTTACCCTTTTTACACAAAATTATGCAAATATTAGAAACAACAAACAACGAAAAAGCTCAAGCTAAGAATAATGTATCTTCACTTTAATATATAAAAAAAAAAAAAAAAACCAAGCGTTTCTTTTCCCAAATTCCTTTTCCTATGGGGAAAAAGAAAAGCAAGATAAATAAAAAGAAAATTAAAAAAAAAAAAGTTAAGACAAAAAGTAAAAATGAAAAAAAAAAGGAAGTAAAATTAATATTTTTAATTTACAATTTTGGTACCGCGATTGTAGCCGTAGTAAGAAAGGTACCACCTAACAAACTTCTTCAACCCGGTTTGCAAATCGGTTGTCGGTTTGTACCCGAGTTCTCTCCTAGCCGATGTTATATTCGCATGTGTGAACGGAACGTCGCCGTTTCCGGGCATATCCACAACATTCCTCTTCGCCTTCACCTTCAAATGCCTCTCCAGTATATCCACTAAAGTCGGTACAGTTACCGGAGATGTATTCCCCAAGTTAAAGATCCGGTACGGTGCGGGTCGTTTCTTTTTCCCACCCGACCCGGTACTCTTACCCGCCGTGTCCAACGACCCCAAACATCCCTTCACAATATCGTCAATGTAAGTAAAATCCCGGGCCAAATCGACCCGGTTCTTGCCCCGGTAAACCGTGATCGGTTTTCCCTGGAGAATGTTTCTGGTGAAGGAAAAATACGCCATGTCCGGTCTTCCCCAAGGTCCGTACACCGTGAAGAATCTGAGCCCTGTAATGGACAATCCGTAGATGTGATTGTAAGTGTGGGTGATTTCTTCGCCGGCCTTTTTCGTCGCGGCGTAGAGGCTAGCCGGTTGGTCGGTCCGGTCCGATTCGGAGAACGGAACCTTGTCGTTTAATCCATAGACGGAGCTGGACGAGGCCCAAACGACGGCGGGCTGGGGGTTGGCGTTTTTGCAGGCCTCGAGAAGCGAGACGAGGCCGGCGATGTTGCTGTGGACGTAGGATTGGGGATTCTCCATGGCGTATCGGACGCCGGCCTGAGCGGCGAGGTGCATTACGTGTGTGAACGCGACGACGTCGAAGAGCTTGTCGAGAAGACGGCTGTCGTTTATGTCGCCTTCTACGATGAAGATCCCGTGGCCGTTTAGCATCGATTTCCGGGCCTTTTTCAGCGACGGGTCGTAGTAGTTATTGAAGTTGTCGAGGCCGACGACGCCGTCACCGCGCTTCTTTAGGGCGAGGGAGACGTGGGTCCCGACGAAACCGGCTGCGCCGGTCACCAGTACGGACATGCCGCCCGAGCGGTGGATCTGGGCGGAGGTGCGGACCTGCTTCTCCCACTGGATGCCGCCCCAGGAGGCGGAGAAGTACCGGCTACCGGAGTCGACGAAGCTCTGGAAGCTTAAATACGACGCCGTCAAGGCGATTAAGAAGAGAGCCCAGAGGAACATGGTGCTTGTGGAGGCGAAACATCGGTGGAACTGGCGGTTCATGGCGTGGGATCTCTCGATCTTGAACTTCCCCGGCGTCGACGGGAAAAGCTCGTCCTCTAACGACGGCATATTAATGGCGATTTATCCGCTCCGAAATAATTAAAAAGATTATAGCTTTGTTTTAGGAGATGGTTTTTTTTGTTTTTTTTTTTGGGGTTTGGTTTTCAGGCGAAACAAGGGTGGAGAAATACAGGTGCAAGAGAAAAATTTTTTGAGGTGATTGAAATTTTTTATTTTATTTTTTTCTGCACCTGCTACTAGAAGGAAGGTGAGGGAAGGTTATATATAGTGGTCACCCACATGCAAGCGACAAAGAAAACGCGTGAACGCGTTAAAAGAACGCCCCAGTTTGGAGGACAGAGAAAATTGGATGTGAAAGTACTAAAATACCCTTGCGTGGGGGGATGTTATCATTATTATATTGGGAGAAAAATATCTATTTCAGCACGTTCTGATAGACAATGTTATAACAATCATTCATGTGCTTCCGAAAAAATAGAGAAAAAAAAAAATAAAAAAAAAATTGTGAGTTTGGCGTACAGATAAATCAAACTTTTTAACCGTGTAATTTGTATATTTTTTTATTTTTATATAATTTTATACAAATTTAATAGGTACAAAATTTAATATATTAGTACGTTGAAGTACAATAACAAAATTAAGAATGTATATTCATGTTGAAGTAGCTAAGTGCAAAATGGAGATTTTTGTTTGTTTTTTCCTTTGTCATCATTTTTTTTTTTTTTTTGGTAGGGTTTTTAAAATGGGAAGAGAGTGAGTGGGGTCATTTCATTGTACATTTGTACACCGCGGTTTAGTTGGCATGTGGCAAAATTAGGAGTGGCCTTTTGTGAAAGAAATGTTGTAAAAGACAACATTCATTAGCTAGTATATTTTATACATTTTCGTCAGTATTTATTTAGCTTTCTTGAGACTTTTGTGGATGCTTTAATTTAATTGCACCTTACTACTAATTGAGGCCTAGTTTATTTTACGGATTTGAATTTTTAATTTAAATTGAGATGTAACATTTTTTAAGAGTTCTTTACTATAGTAAAAAAAAATTAAATGTGATTTTTTTTGAGAATTTTTTACTGTAAAAACCTAAAACTCAAAACTCCAATCGATCTCCGATCGATAAAATGAACAAAGCATTGATTGTTTTTTTTTTCTTAGGATAATTGATTGTGTATTTTTTTTTTTATAGAGAACGTGATTGTATTGTATTCTAAGCAATGTGAACGGAGTAGTGAGTATGATTGATTGAAGTCCAAAGCTTTTTTTTTTTTTTCTTTTTCTTTTTGATGAATGAAAGGTATTTCGATATTATTCATCCAAGTGGTGGTTTGATATTGACTAAGAACATGGGCGTTGATACCATTGGTCGTTTTTGGATAAATTTATACTTTTTGGGGACACTTTCTTATCCAACAAAAGAAAAAAAAAATTATACTTCTCAATATTCCTCTAAATTTTAGGACTTATAAAATGAGTCTTAATCAGTCTATCTCTATTGATAGGATCAGTTTTTAATTATTAAATATGATTAAAATCATAAATAATTTATTATACAAATTTAACTGCTATAAAATATAACTCTATCAATAGTTAATCCTACCAAAAACTCCCAAATTTTAAACATAACAATCATTCTTCATAGACTTACATAAGTGATGTTTTTTAATTCCAACTCACTATAAGTGATGTTCCCCCACTGTTAGTCAAAAGTTAGTTGTCAAAATAAAAAAGTCGCTTGATAATTTTTTTTAAAAAATATTGCCATGAATATCAAATATTAAATTTAAGTATTTGGTAATAAATTGTTGTAAACTGTACAAAGACTGAACTAAATAAGTTTTATTTTCATTTAACAAAGAAAAGTTATACATTTATTCATGTTTTTAGCTTTTACTCCTTATAGATCAACATTCATATTTTTTCTTACACTAAAATTTTGAAAAATAAAAATAAATTTTATTTTGTTATCTCAAAGTTGGTGTTTATTATTTTATTTCAAAATATATAACAATTATTGAAATATTTAAATAAAATTTGGTATAGTTTACGTTTTAAAAAAGTTCATTACGAAGAATTTCTCAGTAGATATATAAATGAGAATAAGGTCGTTGGGCAAAAGTAACCCTGGAAATATTTCTCCAATTCTACAATTGGACATCTGCTTTTAGAATCTGTCTGGCAAAAACAAGGTTCGCTAAATATGATATGTTTCTTAGGGAAAAAAAAAAAAAAAAAAAACCTAATATGTTGTAGATTTTTTTTTTTTTTTTTAAACAAGTCTTGGATGAAAAGTGGTAAACTGTGACAGATTGATTCTTTATAAGTCTTCCATGAAAATTGTCACGTGTCCAGATAAAGAGTAGGAAAGATGACTAAATTATTCTTTTTACTCTAAAAAATAAGTGAAATTAAGTTCAAAATTATAACAATTGAAATTCTAATACACTGCGTACAACTCAAATCATAATTTAAGTCACGACTTAAGTTATATATATGAGAGAAAAATATTGTAGCAAAAGAGTTGAATTTAAATTTTTGTGAGTGTGGCGGAGATGCGTATGTAAGATGGATGAGTGGTCATACGAGGATGGATCACATTAGGAATGAAGTTATTCCTAGTCAAGTGAGTGTAGCACCAATAGAAGATAAGGTACGGAAAAACTGTCTGAGGTGGTATGAGCATGTACAACATAGATCGTTAGATGCATTTGTCCGTACTTGGGAGAACATCCAAATACCTAGTACCAGGAGAACGAGAGATAGACTAAGAATTACTTATGTTGACATAGTTAGACACGACTTTTAAGATCTAAGGCTTTAATAGGGTCTCGTATTTAATAGAGCAGACTGGAAATGAAGAATCCATATAGCTGACCCCAATTAATTTGGGATTAAGGCTTGTATTTATTTTTGTTGTTGTTGTTGTTAAATTTTTATGAGAGAAAATACTACAACAATAAAACTTAAATTGTCACTTGAGTTGTACAATAAATAAATAAAAAATTCTCTCATCTCCCTTTCTTTATCTTATTACAAGGGGTACCTCAAAAAAAAAAAAATAAAGTGAAATTAAGTTTAAAACCATAATGATAAAATCCTGACATTAAGTAAAAAAAAAAGTTTTAAATGTTAACTATATTCTTTTTCAAAAAAAGTAAAAGTCTTTTATCTCCTTTTCGCTATCTTATCCCAAGGAAAACCCAAAAAAGAAGTGAAACTAAGGGCTTGTTCTTTTGAGTGAAAAACTCAAAAAAATGTAACTCGAATTACAACTTTATTTGAGTTCATGTTCTTTTAAGTTTAAACTCGAGTTCAAGTTTCCCCTTCAACTTGAGTTCAGAAACTCGAACTCAAATTAATGAACAATATTTTTTCTATTTTTAAAAATGCTATAACTTTTTCGTTTTAATTCTGATTAAGATGATTTTTTTTCTTTGCGTTGACAATGAAAAGATGAATAAAACCCGACCCATATACCCTATTAAAAATTTTCATCAGCATTGAGTTTTTATTAAAATACTATCTAAATATAAATTCAAGTTTTGACTCACTCAAATACAAACTCAAAAAGATTCTTATCTCAAACCATAACTCAAATGTACACAACCAAACTCAAACGCAAATTACAAGTTCAACTCAAGTTATAACTCAAATTCAACTCAAGAATTATACTCAAGTTAAACTCCAAAAGAACAAGCCCTAAGTTTAAAGTAATACTGATTTAAATTATAATACTAACTAAAAAAAACTTTAGACTATTAACTATGTTCTTTTTCAACAACAAAAAAAAGCATGTGATACAATTAAGGATCTTATTATTTAATTAATAAAGTATCCTGAAAGCATGTGATACAATTAAGGATCTTATTATTTAATTAATAAAGTAGAAATTTTCATTATTTTTGTGCATGTATTATTAAATAGTATATGAATATCATTGAAAATTCTGTGATTATTTATATAACCTTAAATATGGTATATAAGTGTTATATACTAGAGGATAATATTTAATGATAATAATCAAAATAAGTCTGTAATGAATTTAATTAAAGTTTAGAATCTTAAATTAAAACATTATTAATACATGTCATTCCCATTAAGAATGAAGCGAGCTTATCTATATTGTTGATATGGAGAGATATCGAATGAGTGTATTTTACATAATGAGATTATGTAGGACCGGGACACAGACACAATATGAATTTCTAATAATTTTCGTTAAGTATAGAAATTCTAATTGAGTATACCGACGATCATATATAGAATGATCTTAATCCTAAGTTATTAATAGACTCTGGTTTATGGATTCGTGTATTTTGACTTACTCGGTAAATATCTCGACACACTTAGATCTTATCCTTGTATTTTAGAGACATGGAGAAATAGATAGCCGAAAATGCTAATATTACGAGATGGAATCGATTCTTTCTTGAGAAAGAGACAGATAAATAATTCCCTGGGTTGATTCGGTACTTGGATTAATAGGAGCTTCGATTCATGAATGTGTTTTCTGAATCACTATCCATTAGAGAATCAACAGTACTCAAGGATAAAGATGTAATTAGACAAGTTAACAGATCTTACCTAACTCTAATTATTCATGAATGTGTTTTATGAATCACTATCCATTATAATTAGAGAGTGACTATGTCCAATGGACGTTTCACAGATGTAATTAATTGTCTATAATATCAAGAGTACAATTTTAAGTTTACAGTAAAATAAGTTTTAGAATTAATAAGATTAATTTATTAATTAAAGAGTTTAATTAATTATTAAATTTATTAAAGCTTTACATTATGGGTCTATGAGTCCTTGCGTCGTCTTATTAATTCTACGAGACACTAAGAGTAAAACAATAAATTTAGAATTGTGGAATTCTAAATTACATCACTCGGAAATAATTAAATAAGAATTAATTATATATTAAATAATGTTATTATTTAATTTAATTTTGAAAACTAAAATGTGGTGGGACCAAATAGGCCACACGCCCAGTCACTGGGTGCAGGGTGCGCGTGGCACAAGAAGAATCCCATATGAATTCGCTTGCTTGCTATCTAAGTTATCCTTTTACTTGTTTGACAAGTTGTCCAATTGAAATTTAAATTAAAGAAAAGTTTGACTTTAATTAGAATTAGAATTTGAGTCAAAATTAAAAACTGGATAGAGGAGGAATCTTTTCTCCTCCTCCTGCCTGTATTTTGTGCTAACCACAGGGAGAAATCCCTGTGATATGGCCGACC